CGGCATCAACATTGACACAATTGTTATCATCATCATCATATCGGATGGGTCTGTGGGTAACTTTTAGGCACATTGATTTGTCTCTTCACATCTAACAGATAAGAAAAATTTAGACAAATAGAATATCAAACGAGAGATGAATAATCCGGGTGAAGAATAGAAAAAAAAAGAAAAGACTGATGAAAATCAACAGAAGAACAAAATTAACAGAGAAAGAGAACAAATCACAAGATTAAAGAATAAGAAGAAAAAAAAAGGAACACAATCAACAATTGTTTCTGTTTTTCTGTACAATTTATGATATAACAGCAATTAGAGAGAAGGAGTGAGAGAGAAAACGAGAGAGAACGAGAGAGAAATGAAATCACATTAGGAAGATGGAAGCTAAAGATGAAGCTTCTGGAGAGAAAGGAGAGAAAGGAGAGAAAGATGAAGATGATGATGATTCTTTTTTAGGTTCACCACTGGTTAACAGTAAATATCGACTGAGATGATCAAAAGTAAACGAAAACTCGAAGAGAAGAGAAGATGAAAAAGAGAGAGAGAGAGAGAGAAGATAAGTAAAAGAGAGACTGAGTAAACCGAATTAACTCCAGAAGAGAAAAATTATTTTTCGAAAGCAAAAAAAATTCTCTTCTATTTGTGAGTAGAAGAGAAAACTTTTTGGCGCATTTTTCGAATATTTTCTTCTTTTCGACTCATTTTACCGCGCTTTTTTCTAATCCATTCACAGATTCTTCGAATCAATAATCAGCCTCTTCTAAAGCAAACTAATCCAGATATTTGTCTATCATGTGATTTAAGTCCATAGACATCATGAAACAATCAGATACTAACATGAACAATAGAAAATTCAAATTCAATATTATCATCAACTCGGAAATTTCCGAATAAAATATTAGACCAAGTTTACTTTATATTTGTAATGGAAAAACGGGAAACTTTTCTACAGGGCATTTCACCATGTTTCCAACAAGTTTTTCTTTTCAGTTTTTTTCAGTATTCAGATCTTTTTTTCCGATTGGAAACTCTCCTTCACTTGTTATTCTTGACATTTTTTGTCAGAATAAAAATCAAACGTTTAGTTTGGAAAAAGAACAAAATGAGGCGCCACTGGTAAGACAAAATTCGAAAAAAATTTTAATTTTTTTTCTTTTGCCGCTTTTAAATTTCTCTTTGGGTTTTTCTGCTCTTCTCTTTTTTTTTGTCACATTTTTCTGTCAGCTGATGATGACAATTTTATTTCTTATTTTTTATCACCATTTAGATGATTAAGAGAAAAGTATAAAGGTTAGTGGAGAATGTGATGATTGTTTCATTTGGTTTCTTTTCTTCCTCACTCACGTTTACCTTTAACCCTTTTTCCAATTTTCACCTTTGAGTTTACCTTTTGTCTCTCTCTCTCCTTGACTTAACCTTTGTAAGTGTTGATTTTAATTTTCTTTTTCATTTTCCATTGTAATTTTGTTAACTGTTTCTAGTTAATTGTTTGCTGATTGTTTTGTTTAAATAATTTTCTTCAACAGAATCAACAACATCTCTGGTTTTTGGTGAGAACTGTTTTACTCTCAATCTTCATGTATAAACCTTCATTGTTTTGGTTTTCCCTCCTTTTTACTGGCTTTCTGATTGTATTACCTTTCTCATCTTCTTCTGAGGATAATGATGATGGTGATTTTAATTCCAATTCAGAGGAATCTACTCAAGTAGAGGAAACATTTAATTCTGGTAAAGAGTTTATCAAGTCAACCATTGCTGCTGTTATCAATGAGATTAAATTTTCAAAGTTAAAGAGTCAACATAAAAAGATTGACAGTATTGATTATGATGGTGGTGATAAAATTGATTCTGGATCGTCTTTTGCAATTACCGATTCTGAGAAGGAAAAAATTACCTGGCTCGCTTTTCATAAAGTATTTGGTTCAATTGTGGATTCTCTTGAAAAGTCAATACTTGGAGAAGCGATTGATATTCTTCCTCATCTTACCTTGAGCTCTCCTTGTCTATCAACACTTTATCAACTTCTAAGTGCAATGAAACAGCAAAAATCATGGGTATTCAAGAGTATGTTCACTAATGTTCATTTTATTGGTCTCTTTTCACTTTTACATCTATTTAATTCTGTCATTATGTCTGTGTCTATGTACTTGTATAGTGATGGATGCTACTGGTCGGCCATTTTCAGCTGGACTGATGGACGGAACCATAACTGACTTTGGATCCTTTGACCAGTGTATTGGACTTCACATTCCATTAGTTTTCAATTCTGTTGGTGGAGTAGATAAAATGAATTCAGCTTATAAACCAAATGAGATGAAACAAATTCGTGGGCAATATTGTATGGTTCAATATAACGTCTTTCTACCTCCCAGGCCCAAACATTTAAATCTACAGACACGAATTTTCAATTTCACAAACACACCAATCGAGGGAACGGTAAGTTGTAACAATCGAAAGTATTATTATTATAACATTGAATATTTATTTTTCTCTTTTGTCCATTACAGTTTCTCGAAGATATTTCAAACCTTATTCATGTTTGTTACGAGCGTGTTGGTCGAGTTGGTATTTGTATGCCCTCTTCGTGCTCAAAAGATGATCTTGAACAGATTATCGATTATTGTAAGAGTTTTCGATTTCGATTTTATTGAATAATTCTCGCTAATTTTAAGTCTTTATCTTCCCTTTTTGTAGCTTTGAAAGATGTACACATGCATGCGAATGTTTCTCATTGTGAGGTTGAGAGAAATTTTCAATTCGATGGACTTCAGATAATCATTTTAACGGTTTTTGGATGTCTTTCTTTCTTTACTTTACTTGGAACCATGTTTGATATTATTAGCTCAAGAACTATTGAACTATCCGATTCAGTAGAAAAAGTTAAAATTCGATCATTTTCAGCTGTACGCTCTGATCAATTATTCTATTCATTTCTGATTTCCTTTTCGATCCCTCGAAATTTATCAATGCTACTTGACACTCGAACCAGAAAGGGTTCTCTTGATGCCATCAATGGAATACGAGTTATCTCCATGTCTTGGATTGTCTATACTCACACTTACCTGATACCAATTAAGGAAACTTTCGCTTTTGCTCGTAGTTACATTTTCGCTGTTGAAAGTTTTCTATTTCAATTTATTCTCAATGGTTGGGTTCTAGTTGATACCTTTTTCTGTATCGGTGCTTTACTCGCAATCTACACTACCCTTGGATCATTACACCGATCAGGTCGTATCAATGTTCTCGAAATGATTCTGAACCGTTTTATCCGTTTCTCTCCTTCCGTTTGGTTTACTTTGGCTCTTCTATTTTTAATACCTGCCATCGGCTCTGGTCCATTATGGTCCGAATATTTTGATTATCAACTTGATAAGTGTAACAATTACTGGTGGGGTACAGTTTTCTTCATCAACAATTGGTTTCCTGAGGCTAAAATCTGTATGCTTCATACTTGGTATATTGCTGCTGATATGCAATTGTATCTTGTTTGCATTTTATCATTAATTGTATTCTACAAGTAAGTTGACCAATCAATAGCAACATTTAACATATTTTGATCAATTTCAATTTCTGCTTTCTTAATCTTTATTCATAGGTATGGATCCAAAGCCTTATGGTTACCCTATGGATTGATTTTCATCTCCATGATTACCGTTTTTTCATTCACTTATTTCCAATCAGCTGCTCCAACTGTTATTTACAATTCACCGTCCGAAGTGATTACCGATGGCGCTGCCCTTTCAATTTATACTCCAACCTACATTCATCTTGGTCCATATTGTGTAGGTCTTATTGCTGGATTTCTTATTTATTATAAGAGGAATATGGTCATTCCATTTTCCATTTGCTTGACCTGTTGGATACTCTCAATCTCTGGTCTTGTTACCATTTTATTTTATACTTACACTTGGAATATCGGAAATGAGTGGACACCGCTATCAGCCGGTTTCTATGCAACTTTCCATCGAACCTGTTGGTCAATTTGTATCGCCTGGATTATATTTGCTTGTGTCACTGATAATGGAGGTAAGAGCTCATAAAATGATGAGAATATTAAAATTTCAAAGTTTCATGATGATTTATCCAATTTTTCAATCTTTTTCAATTACAGGTATGATCAATACTTTTCTTTCCTGGAAAGGATTTGTCCCACTGGCAAAATTAAGTTTCATGATTTATTTGTTACACTTTCCAATTCTATGGTGGAGATATGCATATCTCCGTGAAAGACTTGCTTTTGGTCATTATACTATGGTAATTAGTATTTTATTATTCAATTGATTGAATATAAATTGATTTTTTCTTTTTCTTTCTTTATTAACAGTTATGTGAATTCATTGTCAATTTTACGTTAAGCTCATTTGCAGCTCTTTTGGCTCATCTGGTTGTTGAAGCTCCAGCATCTCATCTGTATAAATTGTTCATTCAAAAGCATCTCGAATGGTCAAGGATGAAAATAACACGAAAAGAGAGTAAACAAGCTCCAAATCCCGATACTCTTATTGCTTTCAAATCCTAGTCTGGAAACGGAAATTTCTCCAAATGATAACTACAAACACACAAATCAATTATCTTTATTCAAATCACTCTATTTTTTTATATACTTTTTTAACCACAAATTCTTTGACCATTTACCTGTCATGTACAATTCAAATTGTTGTAAAATACTTTGCATTTAATTGTTTTTAGAAATTTATTATTGTTCCTTAACCTTTTATAGTCAAAAGTTGATCTTTTGTTAATTTGTTTTGTTTTCATATTCATTTTAAATCAACTACTCTCATTCCAAGTGGAAACCAAAAAATTTCATCACAATTAAAACACTCAGACTCTGAACGAACCAGATCTCCAATAATGTTAATAGATGGCAGCTTATGATCCAATTCAAAAGATAATTGCATGATCGTCACCTCCACAAGCCTGATTACTGGTTAATCGAAATCTCTTCGTGACAATTGTTTCATAAATAATTGAATGTGAGGTGATATTGTTCATTTTGTTTCTCAATATGAAAAGAGGTAAAGTTTTTATTTTATTTTACTTTTTTCTCTGTTAATATTTTTTTTTATTTATTAATATTCAAATTGATTCGCTAAGGATAAAAGTTTGAGTGATTTTTCATGTAACGATTGAGCGTACCCATGTAAACCCTTCTCAGCGTAAATTGTTGCCAACGATGAATAAGGTTCAGGAAAATTGGAATCCAATTCAATGCTTCGTTGAAGTAAATTAATCGCCTGACTGGTTAAACCTTTTTTACTGTTACATGGTATTAATATATTAATAGTGTGTGTTGGATAATGTAAAGGTAACGCCGAGGAAGACAAGAGAAGAAAAAAAAATGAGAAAGAAAAAAATTCGAATCAAAAAATTTGATAAATTAACATAATATGGAAATTAATTATTTCCGGTTAATGATTGTTGATGATTTATGATCCAGAGTTTCATGATAACTTTCATGTTAATTTGAATTCTCTCAGTTTCTGATTACAATTGAACTCTATCAACTCGATGTAAAGATATTCTCTCTCTCAATCTTGACCCAGTTTCCAGTTATAAGATTGAATTATATGATAATTAAATCAATTGATTATCACGCATCATCATCTTAATTGTCTATTAACAGTAATTGAATCAGTAATTATCTCCTGAGCCTTTTGTTATTGATTATTAATTAGCTTATCCATTGAGTTATTATTTTCATCATTGGTCTTATTTATTTCTGATCTATTTTCCTGTTAATCTGTATAAATGTATTTCTATTTTTATTGTTGATAAAATAGGATGAGGGATAATGATGAGGATGAGAAATACTCGTGAGCAGAAAAAATATAAAATCTATTATCTTATCTTTCTTATTAATATCATTTAATTTAGCAATTGTTATGATTTACACCCGTTGATTGTTTAATCTGATTTACACTCAAACTTATCCTCAAGATAAATCTGATTTACTGTTAATACACTTGGATGATGATGATGATGATGATGATAAACTGTATCAATGATGATTATCATTTGTATCTTATATATTATGTGATGATAATGTTGATGAGATATGATGATGATAGTAATTGATGTTGATATTATTATTTTTTGCTTCTTTTATTGGATAAATATTGTATATCATTAATAGTCTATTCTTATTATTGAATTTTCTGCTTTCGCATCAGCTGATTAACTGATGATTATTTATTAACATTTCTAATGAAACCTTGAGATTGATTGTTTCTAATATCATGATGATTATTATTATTCTGATGACCACAAGTTTCATTCTTACCTGTATATACATGCGAGATTAAAATGAGCTTTTGGATGGTATGGATTAATTTTAAGAGCTTGGATTAAGTGATATTCAGCTTCTTCCGGATCAGGTAACAGGGTAGCTAAATTGTTCCAAGAGCTCTCATGGGTTGGCCATAGTCTATTTCCAATTGATAAAATTACAATAAGAAATTGGAGTGAAATTAAATTTTCGAAATGTTCATTTGTTGAATTCAGTTGTTATTCAATTTCCATGATGAAACTCACCTTAATGCTTCACGATAATGATAAACTGCAGCCTCGTTGTTTCCTATGTCTTTCTGTAAGTTTGCATAATTGTAATGCATTTTTGCATTCTCAGGGGCAGCCAATAGTCCAGCTCTGTGTAATGGTCAAGGGTCATGAATATTAGAGGTCAAAAGGGTCAAATCTGAAATGTATTCTTACGTGAAAAGTGAGGCTCGATTTTGCCATAGACAATTTTGAGAAATTGTTTTCACCATGAAAGCAATTAGGACACTATGGAAAGCAATTGTAAGCCACTTTGATAGATTAACCTGATTAAATCTTGATCTAGTTTGAATCTGTTGTTTAATCAGATCATATCCCGCTATGATTAGCAAGCTAAATCCGACACTAGATCCATGGTGTGGTTGATTGAATTGGAAGAATTGAAAGAGAAAAAAATTTGATTAGTTTCTTACTTAGTAAATGAAGAATGTGAATAATTGTTAACCATTTTCAATGAATTTTCAGTTAATCAGTTACACGATTAAATCTCAATCTGTATGATTGATGTCTCACTACAGTTTCCAAGTTAATCATATTATCATGAGAATAATCAATTGATTACTTCAATTTGTATCATGTTTAATCACTGAATAAATTATCAGCTGATTAGAGAAACCGTTTGTTATCATTAGCAAACAATTAACTAGCAATTAATTATTGAAACATTGTTACAGCAAAAGTCAATCATTTGAAAGCAAATCAAACTGGTTGACAATAATAATGATGATCATCATGAGCATCAATTAGTAATTGTTTGATTTAATCAAAAACACAATTACAATTACAATTAAAACTTTTACATTGGTTATTTTTTTTTTATCTCCCTACTAATCTGGATTTACATACAATAATTAAAGTCAATTTAAAGTAATTACAATAATGATAATTTTACTATCTTCGTGGTTATAAGTTAATTGCTAATCGTAATCTGAAATTAGTGATCAAATTGGTGATTACTGGTTTATATTGTTAACTATCAGTTAATTCAGTAAATTTCATGATGACTGTCATGATGGAGATGATGATGATAATGGTAATGATATTATTCAATGGTAAATGTAAATTACTTTAATCATGCAAGGAGAAAATAATTTACACACAAATACATCGAGGTTCCAGTTGGATTTTCACCTTAATTGCAGTTAATTTGAATGTCAAGGGATTGATTTGAGAACGATTCATAAGCTATTAATATTTTAGAATAGTTGACAAGATAAAATTCGCAAAAAAATCGAGCAGATTCAGAAAGGTTCAGAATGTAAGGGAAAAAATCTAAATTCAGATAACGGAGATTCATTCATGTTACATTGTTTAATCTTCCACTTGAATTGGTTCCGTTATTTTCACCATCTAACCGGTGAAAGTTAATTAACTCACTCGAGTCCAGCATCGAGTTTATTTAAAAACTATTAACTATTTTTCGAGTGACCATTGACTCTTTAAACATAAAACTTTTTAATGTCTGTTGAAAATCAACTGACCATAAGAGGGAAAGGTCACTTTGATTCACCCTGACATTTTATTTTCCATGTTAAACTGTAATTCATTATTTTTTCTCAAATTTTGAATTTCGAATTTGCCATTTTTTTCTCACTTTACTCAGTCTCTCTTTCTCTCTCTCTCTCTCTCTCTCTCTCTCTCTCTTTTACGCTTTTTCTCTCTTTCTCTCTCATCCTGCATTTTAAACTGATGTTCATCTACCTTCATGAAGTAAGTTAATCATATTGCATGTTGCACATCTCTTATCATGCATGAGTCAAATGGTTATCATCAAATTACATGATGATGATGGGGGAATATTTTTCATGAGAAAACCTCCTCCCACCTCTTGATAAACTGTATCTCCCACCCTCTAAACGATAATATGTAATTTTCAATAATATTACCGATATTCTTGAAAAAATCTTGTTGCGTGTTAAATAATGCTCGATATGCTTCAAGTGGGAGTGAAATAATAATTGGTTATCATCATGATAAGTGAAAAGTATTGGAAACAAATATAGACAATTTTTTTGTATCGAACGGCTCTCTCTCTCTCTCTCTAGTCATTCATGTTACCATGAAACTATTGACCACTCTTAAAGTGATGATCAGCATGAAGATGATGATGTATCTTCATGATAACTTGTGAAACTATTAATACATTACAAGTTTTTTAACAAGCAAACTGGTGAGGTTGATAATGATTTGGGTTGTTGTTAAAATTTTCACTTTAAATTGTTGCGAACTGATTTATTTTGTTTTTTCTCTTACCTTGGTAAATATAATATACGTTCAGCGACAACAAAACCAACGGTCACCAAAAGGTTCGAGGCGGGAAGATAAGGTAATATCATGAAGCATAAGCCCATGAAAATAACTTCATGATGATCAGATCTATTGGTTTGTATTAATTGATTGCTATTTACATTGGTCAGTGAAGGTGGTGATGGTGTTGGTGGTGGACTCGGTGTTGGGCTTGATGTAAACTCCATCACCATGCAATTACATGTGGTTGATGAGGATGAATTTTTCATATATGATTTTCTAGTATTTTGTGAAAATGTTTTATCAAAAATAAGAATTGATTTTACTTCCGGGTTAACCTTTGGTCTAAACCAAGAACAAGATTGGGTTAGAATAAATTTTCCGCTTATAATAATGATTCCAATGGTGGAGATGAAAGTGACCAGTGTCTCCAAGTTTCGCCCGTCAATTAGATCGTTGACCAAAGGTATACTTCCCAATTGCCAATCATAAGATAAACGTGATGGACACAAAAGTAGACGAAAGTTGAAAGCACAAAGGTAAGAATAAGTCAAGAATCTATTTGTGGTTGGATTGAAGAGAGAAAAAAATTTTCAAAACAAAATTCGAAAAGAAAAAAGTTAATTTTTTATCCAATTTGATCTCAATTAGTTTCCTAATTCTGTGATAAACTTGCCTTGTTAACATGGAATTTGAAAAAGAAGCGGGATTATCTTGCCGAGAAAAAATTGGTAGAGTTCCATGTAACATTGAGATTCGAAACCAAAGTAAGGCTAAAGTCTAAAGAAATTCGAAGAGAATGAAAAAGAAGAGAAAAAGATTAAAAAAGAATGAAAATAAAATAAAATTCGAAAATGATTAAACTTTGTTGATAATCTTTTTCTTATTATCAAAGTTTCCATGTTTATCTTTGGAATCATGGTGTTCATGAGTTAGCTAAGTTCCAGATTAGAAGAAAATTAAACAATATTTTCTTTCATTTTCTCTCTATTTATTTGAAAGGAAGGGAAAAAAAAGTTCATTCTCTCGAATTTGTGAAAATTATTCTTGACCAGAAGACTCGTAGGAGAAGGTTATGAGTTTGATTGATGATTCAATAATGACACCAAAAGCTCAATCAATATATTGTCATGCTGATGATAATATTGTTCAGATGAGATTGATATTTGGGTGACAATAAGCTAACAAACATACAGGGTTAACATGGTGACAGGGAATGCAAAAAAAAACTCCATCATCATGACAAAAGAAATGACTGAGTATGAAAAAAAGCTAATACATGTAATAATAATACGAAAAGTATATATATTAATCTGTATTCTAGAAGGAGCAAAAAAAGTTGCAATATCATAAATTTCGAGTGGATATTAAATGTAATAACATGAAATCTATTTACATGTGTTGATAATTTTTGTGGAGGGTGGGAAAAGATTGAGAGAGTGGATGGAAATTGTGACAAGGAAAATGTTTCAATGCTGAAATCATTATCTTCATCATGTTAGGAGGAGGAGGAGGCTGAGGATAAATGATGATGATGAGTTACCATTAGATTGAGTATGAAAAGGTATCAATTTTCAGGGAAAAAAAGTTTTCAAAATATTTACCATGATCGTAGGTATTAATATTGGTCCATATAACCAGGGATTGAAAGATGATGATGATGATGATGTGGAGGAGGTTGATGATGATGAGGATGATGTTGATGGTGTTGGAGATGATGATCGCGATGATGATGAGGAAGATGAATAATTTGATTTACTTTCAGTGTAATAAATTGATGAAGATAAATTTCCATCAGGTTGATTACAATAGGACAAGTTGATTCTGTTTTTTTCAAAGGAACAAAAAAAAGTGTGAAAAAAAGTTCAGCTTCTGAGCTACATGAGCTTTAATGTTTAGTCATCAACAAGAAAAAGAAAAGGGTCAAAGGTGAGAAAATTATTCATATGCAAAAATAAGTTGAGGTTATTGAAAATTCTGGACTTTGTTGTAGTTATTCAGTTGATCATGGTAATGACAAAGATCTTTGGTGTTTCCATTGTTTTTGGAAAAGCAAAATCATGTTAATTCAGAGAAACATGGGAAACATTTACATGGAATCCGAATAATATGAGACAAAGTCATGATGTTCGAAGTGTCAAGCTGTTTATCATACATATTTATCTCCTTCAGAATTCAAGACCAGCCTTTGAACTTTTTTTTGTTCGAAATGCTAACAAGATGCTCTCCAGAAGGAATATTTTCTACTTTCAAACTTCAGTCAACTTTTATTCTTATGTTTTATTTGAATCTTCGTACATCATAAAGTAAAAGTGCGATATTATCATGGGAATAGATTATAATTCTTGTCCTTAATCAGAACTCTTTTTCATTGATTTTTCATTAGAAAAACATTGATTGTCTTAAGATGATTAAAATTGTGAATCTGATTACAAGTTGATTATCTAATCAACACTTTGCTTGATTAAACTTTCAGATTGTTGATTGATAATGTGTTGGTTGAAAAATCATTTAATCAATGTAGATAGTCAACCAAGAGTTAATTGTAGCTTTGTAGATGAAAATTAATCACAATTAACTTAATTGCCTTTTGGTTTCATTAAAATGCTGTTGACTTTGGTACATTCTGATCATCAGGTGATAATACTTACTTTTATAAAAGGATAATGATGATAACACTTCTGATGATGAGGATGATAATCATTACGATGAAAGATAATGATGATCACTACGATTCTGATGATCAAGTTAATAGTTAATTCAGTGATCATAACGATTCATTTGAAATGTCATGATGAATAAAGATTTGGATTAATCTTTTGATTGTTTATCAAAACTTTACCCCGAACATTCAGTTGACTAAATTGTTGATATTGAAGATTTAGAATCGTTCTCTCTCTCTCTCTCTCTCTCTCTCTCTCTCTCTCGAAAAATAGAAGAGATAACGATCAAACTATTAATTTCGAACCTTTTACTTTTTCTCTTTCTTTTTTCTTTCTTTCATTGAAAATCTCTCTTTTTTTCATCATCTTGGAAAGAGAAGAGAGCGAATTAAATTAGTGTTCTTAATGCTTATATGTGCTTATGAGAATGTGATCAGAATGGAACATGGAACATCATCAGAATCAGAATCATCATCAAGAAATAAAGAGTGAAAGAGTAGGAGGAGAAACTCAGTAAATCCCATGGAAGAGAAAAGTAAATGGTTCCTGATGAAAATCATCATGATAATGCTTCAGTTCAGTTCCAGAACTTTATCTCCAAGAATAAAGTCTTAAAGTATCTCTTCAAGTTACAAATCTAATCCATGATGATTGAGAGAGAGAGACGATAAAGGTAACTCTCTCTCTATCAAAATATATTGATGATTAGAAAAAGAGATGATGATGATGATAATGATGAAGAAAGATGAAAAGTAACCACCTTCATTGGAAATGCATGGTGGGTTGGAAAGATTAACTGATTTGTTTTCGGTTGGAAAAAAATTTTCCCTCCATTGGTTTAATTTCATCTTGAGTTTCAAGTTATCACTTGATGGAAGACACTGAACTTTCTGAATCCTTTTAGTTTATCATCATCATCATCATCATGGTGGTGATTATATTGATGATGATTAGCCCTGAAAATCAAGATAAGTTTCTTGAATTAAATTGTTAGGTAACTAAATTACCTTCTCCTCGATTATTTGATTTGTTGATCCAATCCTTTTTACTTTGAACCACATTAAGATGTTTACCAATTAATTAAATGTAAATATCGAGCAATTATCATTAATTATCATACATCTAAATTAATTGATGATAATGATAATCATTGAATCCAATATTTAATGGATCAGATTACTTGTCACTGCAAGAGTTTAGATTGTGATGATTAAATGGAATCAGATTGTACACTTTCATTGTGTCTGGTTAATTGTGATGATATAAAATCATGTTAGATAAAATCAATGAATAATTTAGTTGATTGTTTGAAAGATTTACTTTGAAAAGAGATTCAAATTAAGGAAATTGCAAAAAGAAGCGACTAATTAAAGGTCACTTTCAATTTCCAATCAATGAATTAACATCAACCCATCATCATCCTACTTTCACTTGATCCTGATGACTTTTCATCATCATCACCATGTTTATTTAGATTTATCTTCTTACATGAAACAGTTTAATTGCAATAAATTAACCTTTAACCCTCTTAAATAGTTAATTGGATTAACTCATTGAAGACTTTTTTCAATTAAATGGTAACAATTTAGACTCTAAGTTGGCTTATATACAGGGCATTTCACCAAGTTTCCAACAATTTTTTCTTGAATAACTTTTTTGTTTTTGAGTGTTTAGACACCAGCCTCGAGTTATGGTAGTTTAGGCCATACTCCATTGTCATATTAAAATATCAAGGTCTTTCCGGTCATTTTGTTAGGATACAGTTTCAAGGTCATTTGATGATCACAATTGATTTAAATTAAAAAAGGTTAGGAAGGATAGGAAGGTTTAGGTTAGATGCCAATTGATTGGGATATGTTCCTGACGGTTGTAAGCAAGTAGTAAATAAACATTTATATTGCATATTCATGGAGTAAAAAGACAACCTGACTCTTGTTGAGTATTCATTTTGCGACTCTGCAAGATTTTGTAAACTGAGTTGGCAATTGAAAATGAGTAATAGGAAGGTTTAGGTTAGGTCGGTTTAGGTTTAAGGGACATTGAGAGTTTGAAAGTCGAGAAATCTTTATGATTTAGGTTCATATTGGTTTTTTAAATTTGAATCGACTGTGATCATCAAATGACCTTGAAACTGTATCCTAACAAAATGACCGGAATGACCTTGATATTTAATATGACAATGGAGTATGGCCTAAACTACCATAACTCGAGTCTGAACACTCAAAAACAAAAAAGTTTAATAAGAAAAACTTGTAGGAAGCTTGGTGAAATGCCCTGTATTATTATAATAAACCAGCTGAAAGCTTAATCAACAAAATCGAGACAGAGGGATAAAAAAAGTTTTGAATGTACTGAGAAACAATAAGAAGAGGAAAAAGGTTCCCATACCATGGAAACAATGAACAGAACTGAATCTCAATTAACTCACAATGAAAAGTTTCATAAAACATGATCATCATGATGATGGAGAAAATAAAGGGATAATGAATTAGAATGATGATAAAATATTCAAGAGGAGTAAATAAATTTCCTCCTTCATTGGGAGTAGGTTTTGAAAGGACCTTTTGTTTTTTTCAGTCTCTCAAAATTTTCAAAAGGATTCACTGATTGAATCATTGAACCATCATCATGATCCATGGGAAAATTGAGGAAAACTTTTGAAACAATGTTTGCATTCACTTATTTATATACACCAAACATTGTCTATGGTTCCAAATGAATAAATAATCATTTATATATTTGATCAGCAAGAAAATAGTATTTCCTTGTATATCTTTTTCATAGATCACCTGAATCATTACTGAAGGTGAGGTGATTGTTGATCGTGATGGTCTTGAAAATAAAGTGAAAGAAAAAGTTTAAAATAGAACAGAAATAAAAATTTTCCTCATGTTATCCCCTGAACTTTAATGTAACAAATGCATCTCCAAGCCAGCAACAAGCAGCCATATGAACAAAATTGACACAAATCTAGACAAATATTCATATGAATTGAGAGTTATCATGAATACATTCATATCCTGAAGGTGTGTATTAGAGTGGTAGAGGGTATTACATTTTCTGAAGAGTATGCATTAGTAAAAACAATCTGTAATGGTTAATCTATGGATAGGAAAATATTATCATTCCTGAGGATTTTCAGAATTCAAATTCTCTCTCCATTTACCCTCCCAGTGAATATAAATATCACTTATCCACCATAAAGATTGTGAATAATGTTTGCCCAATACAAATGAACGGATCCATTTTTCTGCAAAGTTATACAATATATTTGCAAATAAACTGTCCTAATACATTCAGATTAATGCAAATTTCACCATGAAAATCCCTAAGTAAGTTTTTTTTATTCATCCAAAGTATTATCAAGACAAAAAAAAGGTAAAATATTGTCACCATTGTGAAAACTAATCTCAATTGCAAAGGTAAGGGATATTTTTGCAAATTCAATTGCAAGGTGAGGTTTTTTTTATCACCGTTAATGCAATTTACACACTGAGGTTTCATTTTTTTCTGCATCATCATCATAATCATCATTTACTTGATTATCATCAATTTACCGCAATTTAATTTGCAGTTTTTTTTGTTCATGGGAAAAAATAAACAAAAACTGATTTCAACTCAGTTCAGTCTTTATATTCAGTTGAATGAATTTTTTTTCCTCATGATTATTTTTTTTTTACTTCGACACCCTGACAAATATTCAACTCAACTGAACTTTTTCATCATTATTGTCTTGTAATTTTTTCTACCTTGGTGTAAATATTAATGCTTGTTTATTATTATTATGTTGCTTTTTTCATCATAAATCATAATCTCATTATCTCATATTAAGTCACCATAGCATTTATATTAACTCAATCAAAATGAATTCCTGGGAAAGTTACAGCTGATTAACTTATAATCTGCTTCAAGATTGATTGAAATATTTCAATTGTACCTTTTACTTTTGTTTAGACTGGACAATCACTGAGACTATTAGAATGACCATTGAACAGATTAATTTGACCAATTGGATGATTGAAATGGATTAATTTTCCATTTTTAATTATCTTTCAAACTTTCTAATTTAGATTAAAGTTTACGAGTAATATTTTCCTACCATTTTCAGCAAACTGAACAAAAGTTCATAAGGAAATGAATTACCTATTGTTACACTTCCTGAATGAATTTAAATGAATATGAACAATGAGAGTTTTGTACATAATGATGATGAACAGGAAGAAAATCAATCAAGCCTTATTAATATGCTTTTGATGGCTATTGAATTTCCAATTTCTGATTCAATTTAAATTTCAATCTACTAAGATAATCAAGTTAACAATAAGTTGGATTAACAAGTGGAAATTATTTTCCCTTCAGCTTGACCAAGTTAATCCATGGTGATTAATCAATTCTAATCCCTTTTCGTAAAGATTAATCATAGACATAGAGAGATACAGAAAGTGAAAGTGATTTTACAAAACAAAAGAAGGAGAGAAAAAAAATTCTCAATATATATTCTGTATTCTATCATGATCAATTCAGCCTCCCTGACATTTATTACAACTCCTTTGACATAATAATTATCATCATTAATAACCTTCATCATGCGAATTAATATTTGAAATTAGTTTATATTCCCCCTCAATTCAGTATTTACATAGTAAATAATTATGATTAAAATGAGAGTAAAATATGATTCGACTTCCCCTTCATCATTATGAATACCTTGGTGTATATATTATATTTTTTTTTTCTCAACTGAACTTTATTATCAACCAATTTCAGCTCTTTCTCAGGATTCGTGATAAATACAAAGTATCATGTTGATACAAGATTTATTAATACTTATGGATATTAATTTCTAATTTTTCTTTATGCTTTCTCAATACATTTCAGCTCACCTCATTTTCATTCATTTTTCAATTTCCATGTAAACAGAAAAATTTGTTAATCAGTTATAGTGGAAGTGAATGAGAAAACAATATGAAAACGAATGTATCAAAATGATTTATTTACCGTTACCTAGTAAATTAATATTCGTGAACTTATTGGATGATAATTTCCAGTGAAAGTTATTGTGGAGTCACGATAATGAACTTTAAGTTGAATCGGTGGATCGGTTGAATATTTGATAACAATTTCGGTCAATGAATTTACATCAGCATCTGATTAACATTCTCATGTTTAGTATCATCAATATGATTGACTTTTTTTTTCAACTTCTATGATCAACAAATGATAATCAATTGCTTTCTCTTTGCTATTTTGATGTTCATGGTGATAAACTGAAATTGGCTGAAATTGTTGTTCTGAAAATTGATAGTCTTTTCTTTTTACAATATCATGAAATGATTCATGGTAATGATTTATGAATCCAATTTATCTAGTAAAAGTTGAGTTGTTATCAACATGGAAATGAATTATTGAAGTTGACCAGTTGAAAGACATTTTCTAATCTTGTGATGACAATAAATCGTTACGATGGATACTCACCCTTTCCGAGTTATGATCAGTGACCCTGATTGGGACAATTTGAAGATATAATAGAGAGTACAAATCGGTAGAATCATGATTCCAGTTTCTTTTGAAAGTAATGCCAAAGTGGATGATAAGCAAGACCAAAAGAGATAGACTATCATCCTTTGATTACTTTTATCTTCCAGCATAAACTTCACAGCTCTAAAGGATAAGGAAATAAGATCATTGGTTAGAACTAGTAAATTTTTGTTTCCATTGAGATTCTTGTCGAAATGATTAGACATTCATAAATAATCATAATGCACACGTAAAGTTTCAATTCCTATCAATTCCATGAACACTGAGGAAAAATGCTCTTTCCATAAACTAATGATTCTAACGTGATATTAGGTGTATAAGATTCGGAGTTTTCTTTGGCAAGTTTTTTTTTCTTCATTCGATATATATTACTTTTCGTAACAAGATCTAACCAATTATCAGAATTCAGTGATAATCATGGTGTAATTAGAGTCATGAGTTAACATGATACTGAATAAATCTGATATTCATTTAAAATGAGATCAGTATTATGCTAATAGCACGCAATCTTATCATAAAGTTATCATGATAGTTACAATTGGATGAGTTTCTCCCTGTTGAAGTTGTTTTTTTCTGCTTCAAAGTTATCAGCAACTCTGAAAGTTCAGCATATTATTGAGTAAAGTATCATGCAGAGTTGAAATGATGATGAGAGTAAGAGTGTTAGCTAAGGTAAAATTAATCCCTGGTGTGAGCGTGCTAATAATAATAAAAGGAATCTAATCAATTCTCAATTCTGTGGATTATCATGATCATCTTTCATGATTTGATTGTTTACAATTAACTGGGTTTACATGCATATATTTATCTTCAGTTGATTCAGTTATAATATTATTATCGTTATTATGATCAGCCAAAATTGTTTACATTACCTGGTGAAAATGATTAACGTTATCAATGAAAATATACAACACAGGATATCAGCTCTTCCAACGTTACTTGAAACCTGAATTTATATAACCATGAGAATGAACAAATATTAATTGATCAATACAAAAGGTAGGAAATCATGTTCATGGTTCTTTGGTTGAAATTATCTTTTCATTGGTGAAAAATCAACTTACAGCTTCAGTGTGAATCGGGTGAAGGGCAAAGTGAAGTGAAATTAAAAGTGACATTTGATTGGTACAATTTAGTATTGAATGTGCAATATACATGATCAGTGTGGTGGTCATTACGTGAAGAATTACATTGACCAGTCGAAAATGCCAAGAAATACTCGAAAGTCCATTTGCTTTTTTGAGCATCATGTTCAATCTGGACAAAAAGGACAAAGAAAATTATTTTAAAAAAAGTTTACCAACAAGAGTCATTAATCTGGAACTCTTTTTGAAAGGGTTTTTTTCTGATATTGTTGAACTTTATTTCAGTTCTTCATGTTAAAAATTCACTTTGCATCTGAATATACAGGGTGCTGGTTTAATTAATTGAATAATTATGATTGATTGTGTGATGTTGATGTTGTTCATCATTATCATCATCATCTGTATGTTTATCATGTAAAATTTACTCAACTTATTCATTAATCTGAATAAAAATGAAAGTTGTGACCATATTAACCTCAGATTTACTGAGGGAAGTTTTCATGGTGGGTATTATTTCAATCTCATCTCTTATTGTATTAATAATAACATTTTCATATAAGTATGAGTAATATTATTAATCCTCCATTAATATGATTATGATGTTTGCAGTGAACTCATTGTTTAAGATGGTTACATTTTTCATCTTCCTCATCTCTCTCTCTTCCTCTCATGGTTACCACCATGAAAATGATTCTCAACTTCCTGAAAGAAGATGAAAATTCATTGTAAGCAGTTTTTGGTAATTTGACTTGGATGATTGTTTTTTTACTCGCTCTTCCTCAGGACAAGTTTCAATGAAAGTGTTGATGTTTTTAAAGCTTCAAAGAGGAGTTGGTATTGGGAGGTGGGAAGATAAAAAGCAGAAAGAGGAAGATAAAATGTTTTATCTTCTATCAAATTAAATGACCAGGAAAAGAGAGAGACTAAAGACTCTCAATCAGAAGTTTAAACAAGAGAAAATGAAGATAAAGATGATAATTATAATGATGATAATGGCAGTGGGTGTGGTGATGGTGATGGCGGTGGGGTTGATGGAGTGGTACGTTAATTGAGAAGTTGATTTGAATCCAGTTTGGTTATTTATTAAGCAATTAAGTCAAATGAGGTGGTAGGAGGAGGAGGTAAAAGAGGAAGTGGAGAGATGAAGATGTTTAATAGATTTACATCATGAAAAGGAAAGAGAGAGAGAAAGAGAGTGTCAGAGTGGGAAAAATTCCACTCACTGTTTCATCTCCACGTTCATCATCTCCAATTTCTCTTCATTCTTAGCCTTATTCCCTCGTGAGATTAGAGACACAAACAATGTGAGCAAAGGGAACACTGAATTATCCACTTCTCTAGCATCCTCATCTTTATGCTTCTTCATTTAACTATTCCCACCCTCTCACATGAACTTTTGAAACCATTTACTTAACTCCACTGATTGATGATCCATTTCAACATATTACGAAAGTCCAGTTGATCATTTTACTATCTTCATCTTCATCTACTCATTCACCTTTCCATTTTCACTCTCTCACTTTTTGCCTCAGTCTCCATCCAATGTAAATAAATGTGAATCTTGAAATTACTCCCATGAGAGTTAATTGCTTATATAAGTTAAATTATCATAATAACAATAATTTAACTTTTGTTTTCTCATCGACATTAAAATAAGATGATCAAATTTTACTTTCCATTGAATTTACATTAAGAAAATTGTAAAATTCAAATCACTTCTTATTATTTTCATGGTTCAATTCCCAGAAATAAATATAAATCACTCCCAGTAGATGATAATAAAAATGTTTGATATAATCTTAGAAATTGAATCAAAAGTAAATATAAACAATATGAGAAAAACAAAGAGACTCAGTGGTCAGTTTTTTAAGAGTAAAAAAAAAAGTTTCTCTGTATATTGAACAAAATACCCACCGGTGGGTTGAGATTATTTTCTCACAATTTTTGACCATAGTTTTTGATATTTGATTTAATTGATTTGATTTTCATTTACTCAATAAACAGTAAACATTAATCAGTAAATAAATGTTGATCATATCAAAAAAAACATGAAGAGAGAGTTAGATTATCCACCCTGAGGGTCTAAAGAGATAACTTATTGATAACCATGATTCTAGTTCTTGGTTCGGGAATTTTATTAAAATTTACTCAACTTTTCATACTCTCAATTCCAAGATTTAAGTTTTCTTTTATTCCTCCATCATTCACCTATTCAGCATATCAACCTCGATCTGTATTTTTTTTATCTTCTATCGGATTGAGAAGCAATTTTCATGAGTTTATATCCAATATTAGAGTAAATATTTACTCTGGATACTTGAGATAACAATAAACAAGAAATAACAACAATTTTACCTGAGAAAAAAAAATAACAATAACCAAATAATATTATTACATGGGGAAAGTGGAAAGGTTTTCATGGAGTGGGGATTGATGTTGTAGGGTAAAGGTAATGATAAAGATAATAATATGTATTAAGAGAGAGGGATAAAGGTTAAACAAGGAGACCAATTTAATCCTTCAAGTTAGTTGAAGCCTAAAGAGATAAATACAAATCCAATATCTTATGTTTATCTAATATCAACATGAGGATTGATAATGTAACCATGAGTATAATGAAATATTATATCAACTGAGAGCAAATTTTGTAGCGCTTGATATAATAGATAAGAGTGAAAATCTTTGAATGAGACACAATTTTTTCCGTTCTACTTTTCCTCTTCCGGGTTCATGTTACTAATAAAATGAAAATAAATAATAATAAAAGAATTGAGATTGATCATTAATTGATTATCAGCTTTTGTTTCATTCGTTGTATATAATAATATATTATGAGAACTGTTCACAAACGAGGTAAGACTTAAATCATCATCATGAAGATAATGATGATGATTGAGCTTGAGATGTGTTCAGTCTTGGACGAGGAGTGAGTCGTTTCAGCTCATGGGATTTCAATGGTGTCCACCATGAGCTTCATGGTGAGAAGTGGGAAAAGTTTCATAATTGTTTTTTATTGAAGATACTTTTTGTCTTCTTGGTTTACTTTTTGATCAATATTAATTTTGTATCGTCATTATCATCATCATCATCCACCCTGTAATGTCAACAACACCTTACAGTTACGTGTCCAGTTATCATTATCAGTTTTCATGATAACTTTCACAATTTATTTGTCTACAAAATTTATTTTTATTTCTAATGATGATGATGATGATGATGATAATGATGACGATACTGAATACTATCATCGTCATGAAAGACAAATAATCAAATTAATTGCTATTATTTTATAAACTTTTTTTCTCACTCATCTACACTCAATTATTTTCCTTGAACTTTTTTTTTCCTATTACAAATTAAGAAATTAAATTGAATCGAGTTAGTTCAAGTGGTAGTAATTAATTCATTCATGATGGTGATAATTATCGTCACCATCATCATGGTAATCAATGAGTAATTTTTGCAAATGAAATTTGAATGGTTAAGACATTAGCTAATTTCTATACACAATTATGTGTATGTGAAAGCAAGAAAAATAAATTGCTAGCAATTAACAAGGAAACAATTTACAATTGGGAGTTAACACTGAGACACACACAAATGATAATCATTAAATATGAAATATTATTGAACGTTACTCATTGTAAGTTAATTGTCAGCCAGTGCAATTAAATTACGATATAGCAATTAACAGATACAATTAAAAATGGACATTTGTCAATAATTCATTCAGAATATAAAGAGAGTTAATTTAAATCAATTATAATTAGCTGATCATTTAATGGTAAACTTTTCGTTCACAATCAATTTCAAACAGTCTTCTTGATACATACATAAGATAATCAAATGAACTGATTTATATTGTTACCTGTTTTTATCACTAACATCATTATGATCATGATGAAAATCAAATTGTTCAATTGACTGTTACTGAGTAGTAATCATCATGATCGTTATTGTTATTATCATTTATGCTATCAGAGTTATCACAATTTTATCGTCTTCTTAGTTCAGTTAATTTCATGGTGTATGTATTTTTATCTCTCCCCATTTGGATAACATGAAGATACAAATGATTTTGTATATTGGAATGGGAAAAGGTTTAATAATAAGAAGCGGTGGGAGAAAAAGATATAATGTCTTGTATATGAAATTCTGTTGATGTTACAATGGAAACCCGCCCGGTGGGAATAATTAAGAGCATCTTTTTCCAATTCCAATATCAGATCTTTTGTCTCTCTTACACCTTTTACCTTTTCCCTTTATGGCAACTATCCCACCCTTCACTTACCCACTACCCCAACATAATCAATGTCCAGAATCATCTTACATCAGCCTCATTTCATGGATTAATGGTAAGAACCTAATTATAGTGATTAACTTGTTCACTCTGATAGTCTATTAAGAAGTTAGAACTTGCACTTAGAACTTAAGAACTTTCTTTTTTTTTCTCTTCTCATTATCTTTCTCATTTTCTTTTCTTTTTACATGATGATGATGATGAGACGATGAAGGTAGTGGAAAAACTATTACTTTAGAATATCACCTTGACAACGAATTTCCTGTAACCGAATTCACTTCAAATTCATCTTAAGTCTTTTCTTTACTGACAACTGAATGGTCTTTACATGGTATTCAACCTTGGAGGGGTAAAGTCCCTTTCTCCTCCTTCTCATCTCATCTGTACACTTTATCATCCTCATCTTTTACATTCATCATCATCATCACTTAGCTTTACTGGTCATTATTGAACTTGACCTCTCATCCAATGTTCAAGTATTAACTGTTATATAGTGTGACCAGTCAGTCTTATTATCACAGTCCATTTAGCTTTTTATATAACAATGTTACTATTTATATATTATAAATATATTGTTTTCATTATCAACATGATACATGGTTAAAATAATCAACTTATATCATGACTTTTTATTGAATTATTTTTCCTGAACAAGTAGACAAAGCTAGCGAGAGAGAGAGAGAGAGATGACCATCCATTAAAATCAATTAGGATGGTCAATTGTTTTTGATTTGATTGGTCAGTTTTGCTTTTGGTTCAACTCAATTTTCATGATAAATTCTGGCTCACTTGTTTATCGGTGTTGAACTTGAATAGTGTTGAATGTAATTGGGTTAAACTTTGTGGGTTATTGAGGCTACTGATAATATCTC